ACACACACACACACACACACACACACACACACACACACACACACACACACACACACACACACACGTCGGCCTTTGAGTTAGAAACCTTTTACACAACGTTGACACAGAAAACAGCTGAGTGTGAGTGTGTTTATATGTATATGTATATATACATATACATATATATATATATATAGCTTTTGTGTGTGTGTTTGCTTGTTTGTGTGTGAGTGTCTGGGTGTGTCTGTGTTTGTCTGTGTATACCAAGCTGACTCAGGTCCAGTGTGGTCCAGTTCAGTCCTGTGGGACAGGACTGAGACAGTGTACGAATTCTAACTCGACCATGAGTGTCCAAACCCCAAAGAGCATCAGGACAGGCAGAGAGGTGAGTCAGCTCCATCTGAGAACATAAGCAGAACATCCAGAACATCAGGAGGACAATAGGGGAACATCGGGAATACATCACGCAAACATCAGAGGAACATCAGGAGAATGAGTCAGAAGGAGGCGACAGGTGCTTTTTTTACCTCAGGTGAGAGGGGGACAGACGAGGGACGTAGCTCTCCATCCTGATCCCAAACACAGAAAAGATCCTTCCTGCTCTGAGCCAACCACAGCAGAGCACCTGGAACACAGGAGACCAGGGTCAGGTGTGTTCATGAGAGGGTGCGGAGACTCAGGTCCAGGTGTTACCTTCTCTGTGAGGCACCACTGAACATGTGATGAAGCTCCACCTGGTTGTCGACACGGTTCCTCTGGGAACGACGTTCTGCCAGAAGGTTCCTGAAGTAACCATACATAGAGAGAAGCTGGGACATTGAGTCTATTGTAAACTCTGCTGGATTCTACTGTTAACTCTACTGACCTACAAGGCTGCCGCGGGCCAGGTGCAGCTGGTTCCGTCCTGATGCGACCCAGACTCCGCCAGTGTTGGCGCTAACCAGGCTCGGCTGACACTGAGAGTACTGAGACAGAAACGCCACCACCCGCTCCACAGGGGCCCTGGTTACCGTGGCAACACTCTGCGTCGCCTGCAACAGCGTCTGGAACAGACTTCCCTGATCGAACACGACGTAGTCCGAAATACTGATCTTAAAGAGAGATAGACAGGAAGTGAGATGATCAGGAAGTGAGATGATCAGGATATGAGAAAAGACCTGTCTCTACCTGCCACCAGTGGTCGTCTTCTCCCTGTGGTTTGGATGAACAGATTCCTGTCCTGAACCAGAGGCTGCCACTGGCGTCCAGAGCCCAGGACGTTCCCCCGTCTCCCAGGGTCACGCACATCAGGTCCAGACCCTGAGCCTCACTGATATACACACACACGCACACAATAGTATTACAGTAGTGGTATTACAGTAGTGGCATTACAGTAGTACTACAGTAGCAGTATTACCTGACAGTGTCATACTTCCATCCCTCCCCCTCGCTGCAGTAGCTGTTCAGTCCTTCTCTGTAGAACAAAGCCTTGTGTTCGCTCAGAGCCCAGACCACGCCCTCTCTAACACACACCTGGCTGAACACACAGGGGGCGTCGACCTTCACCGAGCGAGCACACGGACGCTCCACGCTCAGACCTGACAGACACACAACAGTTACTGTGGCAACAGCACACAACAGCTCCTCCTTAAACACCCCACATCCTGCTACAGGATGTCTGATGGGATTCATTCTAGGTCTCCTCCTACAAAGTGATCAAGAGAAAATCCAGAAGATCCAGAGGAAGTCAAGAAGGATCTAGAGGAAGTACAGAAGTATCCAGAAGAAGCCAAGTTGGATCTTGAGGAAGACAAGAAGGATCTGAAGGAAGTGCAGAAGGATCCAGAGGAAAACCAGAAGTATCCAACGTGATCAAGAGGAAATCCAAAAGATCACGAGAAAACCCAAGAGGATACAAATGTTGTCCAGGGGAAGTCAAGAAGGATCTAGAGGCAGTACAGAGGGATCCAGAGGAAACTCAGGAGGATACAGAAGAAGTCCGGAGGGATCCAGGGTGATCAAGAGGAAATTCAGAAGTTCCTGATGAAGTCTGGAGGGATCCAGAGGAGGCCCAGAAGAAACCATAGGAACTGAAGAAGGATCCAGGGGGATCCAGAGAGAGTTCAGAAGTGTCTGAACCTTCCTCACATCATCACAGGAAACATCATGTTTTAATCCATCTTCTTCTGCTGCGGTTTAACATCAGCGACTGGAGGAGCAGCTCCACCTGCTGTTCATCAGCAGTGGAGGAAGAAACAAGTCATTTGACAGGTTTAATAATTTTTCAGGAAATGTTCCCTGCTGGTAACACTGTTAAATCACAGCTGTAGGAGGAAATCATTCAGGTCAGATGAGCTCAGCCTCTATTGGACAAATAAATGAGCCCTTCATATTGTCTTGTGTTTTTCTGAATGTAACTCGACATAATTCTCGGCCAATAACAACCCTCCCCCTGTAATGATGCCTGTGACAGGTTCCACCTGAATAAAAAAAGAAAAGATTTTCTGACATAATTTCATTGATGTAGATTTCAGCTTGGGTTCAAACTGTGGGTTGATCTTTTATTTAAATCTTTAAATCTTTTCTTGTCTGTTTCTTCAAAGTGTGATTCAATGAAACAGTCAGGGATCACCTTAGTAAGTAAGACAGGTGGTTACCTGTCTGCAGGTAGAGGTCGCCGTTGGTCCTGATGATCCAGGCGGAGTCGTCACTCAGAGCGACAAATGCTGTTTGCTCCACAGCTTTGTACCAGTGACGTTTTCCTTTAACTGACACTTTTGCACAAGCAAAAGCTGTCATGCTCTTCTGCTCCACCTTCCACAGCAGATTACCTGATGGAGTTTGCAACAATTAACATATAGCTCATGCTACATACACCTGCACAGCTTGCTGCCTGCTTCAACAACTCAGCTGGTGACAGGGAGCTGCTGATGCTAACATGCAACATGATGGTGAACAGCTTCATTACAAACTACTGTTTTCACCAGATGAACAGATGATGTCAGCAGCTCACCTGAAGGTGATAACGCCACCTGGTGGACGTTGTCTTCGAAGCGCTGCCAGTTGAGTCCATTTTCAGGCAAGGTGCTGCAGAACAGTCCTCCTTTGAAGTCCAGACACCACACATACCTGAGACACACAGTTACCTGTAAGACACCTGCTGAACTCTTGTGAGTCACATGACACCAGTCACACCATGGTCACTGACTCACCTGTCTGTCACCTGCAGGCTCAGTATTCCACACCCTGGTCCTAAGTATCCCATCCAGCTTTCTGCCAACTAGAAAAATAAAAGTTAAAACATTAAATCCAGCTGTTAGACTTGTCAAGTCCAGATTTGTCTCACCTGGTCAGATTTGTGTCCGTCTCTGTCCTGAGCATCCCGGTCCGCCTTGCTGTCACTACTCTTCTCCATCTGAATGGATGAACAGGTGAGGACTTCTCCTCTGCTGCCAGCTGCAGGCAGAGTGTGACAGTAGATGTCTCCCTCTTCATCACTGGACAAACTGGGCTCTCTGTCCAGAGTGGACACAGTGGAGTAGAACATCTGGTCTGCCAAGCCAGCAGGGGGCATCAAGTTGCCCACCTTTACACAAACACAAAGGAAATACTATATTTCATGAAGGAGGGATTTACTTCTGTCAGCATTAGTCCAAAACATACTCTGACAGGTCCAGCAGAATAAAGACCAGACAAGTCTAGCACTATGTGTAAAGACAGGTCCAGGACTATGAGAATAAGACAAGTCCAGGATTGTGAGGACCAGGCAGGTGTATCATTAATTCCACCACCAACACACCTCATCATCATCCTCCTCCTCAGGTCCAATCAGAGGGCTCAGATACTCATCATCTTGCTCCTCCAATGGCTGCTGCTCTTGTCCATCCTCTTCTTCAGGGTTTTGCATATAGGAAAAGGTGCACTCCAGCAATAGATCCACATCTGGTGTTGGAGGGATGACCTCGGCTTCTGAGGCCTTTCCTGTTACCATCTGCTTCTCTGGACTCTGAAGGAGGAGGGATCCTGGAGGGAGGATGGAGCTGGGAGAAGAAAACAATAATGAGACAGATGGGTCGACAGGAGACATTATGTTATAGTCTGCTGGCTTTCAACTAACCAAGAGTCCATCTTCTCTCCCTCCTTTAAACCTCCATCTGAATGTGCTCCTCCCTCCTCTTGTGAGTCCTGGTCCAGCCACATGAGGGAGGCTCGGTCACTCAGAGGAGTTCCACTTCCTCCATCACTACAGCTGCTGTCTTGGACTACAAACATGGAGTCTGAGCAGCTGCTCTCAGAGAGACGGTTCCCACTGCTACTGTCTAAGGACGGACAGCGAGACAGGTAGACAAATCAGGTATAAAGTCTGTCTGCCTGTCCCCCTCTTTCTCTCGCTCTCTGTCTGTCCTCTAGTCTTATTTCTTACCTTGCCTTCTCTTTTTCTTCTTCACTCTTACAGCTTTCACCACCAGCTCCTGCTGCATCTCTTCCTGACCCAGGGGGGCACTGTAGCATCTGGCGCTGACCTCACGGGAGCTCAAGGTATTTGAGGTACTGCAACTACTAGAGCTGCCAGTTAGCAAACAGGACTGTCTACAAAGCTGCTCCATCACCTGCACCAACATGGAGCCAGTCATTAACAGAACCAGTTAGTAACATTAACCAATCAGTAAGTTAACCAGTTAAATAGTCTAGTGGATTATTGGTCAGTTACCTCCTGCTGTTCCAGCTGCTCCTGCGCCTCCGTCACTTCCTCCTCCTCCTCTCTCACCGAGTCCCCCCCCCCTCCCTCCTGTCTAGCCCCACCCTCTGTGATGATGGCAATGGTTCTGATTGGTTGAGCTGTTTCCACTGACCCAGTTTGTGGAAGCATGCTGGGCATCGTCAAAGGCGAGGACAAACGGATGGAGAGCTCAGACACTAAAGAATTTAATCAAACGGGTACAAAAAATGTTGTTACCCCGTCAGCAGCAGTAGCAACGGTAGCAGTAATAGAAGTATCACTCACAGCTGGAGGGCAGTCCCTCGGGGCTGTTGGACAATCGGATGACGTCTCTGTCTCCTTTCAGGATGAAGATCTCATTCTCACAACAGGACACTGATACGATGTCTCCACTGCTCTCCAAAGCTCCGATGATCACCTGAACACATCAGATATGAAACTGATATCAAATATCAACACATCATCAATCACAAATGGTCCGATCACAAATGGGCAGCTCTGCCCATTTGAGCAAAAATGAGCAAAAAAGTCTGTTGATGAGCTAAAGAGTCTGTTGATGAGTTTAAGAGTCTGTTGACAAGCTAAAGAGTCTGTTGATGAGCTTAAGAGTCAGCTGACGAGCTAAAGAGTCTGTTGACAAGCTAAAGAGTTAACTGACGAGCTGAAGAGACTGTTGATGAGCTGAAGAGACTGTTGATGAGCTAAAGAGTCTGTTGACGAACTAAAGAGTCAGCTGATGAGCTGAGGTTGTCTGTTGTTGAGCTAGTCTGTTGACAAACTGAAGAATCTATTGACTAGCTATAGAGTCTTGATTAGAAGCAGTAGCACCTCGCTGACAAAGTCCAAGACGTAGACGCTGTACTCGTTCCAGCTCAGGATCCAGTCCTTTCTGAGGAAACAGCTGAGCACCCCGAGCTGTCTGTCTGCTGGACGATACGCTCCAACTGGACCAGGACGAGGAAACAACTGAAACTGAGGAATCTGACAGACAGACAGGAGAGATAGAGAGAGACACGCAGACAGCAGAGAGAGAAAGACAAACAGACAGAGACACAGACGGACAGGATAGAGAGACAAACAGCAGAGAGAGAAAGACAGACAGACAGAATCAAAGAGACAGACACACAGACTGAATTGAACAATCGTTGTATTTCTATATTTCTTTCATCCACAGTGAATCATATATGTGCAGTTTCAACAGAAACAGAAGTACACATATGTTGTCAGTATACCTGTGTGTTGAACAGAGGTTTGAGCTGTCGTGTGTCCTCCACCTGTCCTGTGATGTCACACCTCCACAGTCTGAGTCCAGGTCGAGCAGCAAACACCTGAAGGTCGCTCTGTTTACAAAGAGCGGGCAGGAAGCAGGCACCGAACCTGCCACTGCTGCAACACACACACACACACACACATTTCAACCCGCACATATACTGTGTCAATAGACACACGTCAACATGCACACTGATGTCATAAAATACACATGTCAACACGTATGTAAAATGCGCACATCACAATAAACATGTCAACAAAGACACTGACTCCACTGCTCACTTTTCTCTCTCCCGCACGCTCGCTCTCTCTCCCTCACTGATACACTAACACACACACACAGTGTGATTGGACACGTGTGTAAACTCAGACTGAACAGCAGAATTTGTATGGAGAGCGTTCTTTTTTCACAATTTGGCTGGCAGCGCACAGCGTGAATGTTAGAGACCCTGGGTCAACACGCACACACATGTTAACACGTATGCCAACACAGACCAACAACACAGACCAGAAATTCATTATCTGCCTGAGAGACTTAATTTACCCTCCAACTGGACTTCAACACTCACGCTGGTTTTGTTACATTATGTGTGTTGTATGACCTACGCATAAGACATGAATGTTGTATGATATACACATTGAATGATGTGCGATGTATGACATACATGTTCTATGATATGTGTGTTGTATTTTACATGTATGCAGTGTGTTGTACCTCTTGCGGGGTTTAGAGCCCAGCTGCTGGACATCCTGTGTCTGTGTACAGTAGAGCAGAGATCTGTGCTGCGTTGACACCATCAGCACCTGCTGACTGTACGCCACCTGAACTACACCTGAGGATTCCTCCAACAGCAGTACAGGTTTACACAGCCCCTACACACACACACACACACACACAC